GCTCTTCCTTAAAACCCTGCCTTGCCGGCGAAGCTGCTCGGCACATTCAGCACGGAGGTGGGCGAGGAACAAAAATAGACAAATTAAAGCCTCAAAAGGCCAAGAAATGAAAATGTAAGGATCTTTTTTCTGCAAGCTCCCAGTGCGCTCTGCTCATGCTGCAGATGTGAGCTGCTGCCTTCCCCCAATGACAACACCTCTGCATATAGAAATGTGTCCGTGCGATGGGTGATTTCGGCCCCCTTTGCTGATCCCGGCCATTCCCAAGGTTGGGTTTTGCTCCCTTGCCCGGGAACATCCGAGGAGGAGGGCACAGCTCGTCTTCAGGAGCAGTCCTGGCTGCCCGTGACACACCTGGAGGTTGAGGTGTTTTCCCCTAGGGATGCCTCTGGGATGAGAAGGTCTCACATCTCTGGAGAAGCTGAGGGACCGGCTCTATCTCCGGGGTGTCATGCAGGATGTGGGCAATGGCTCCGTGGCTGGAGGCTGTCGGAGCCATCCCGGGACAAACAGGGATATGGGCACTAGGCAGGAGGGGATGAGGAGAGCCTGAGGGGTCCCCCGGGGCTCGGCAGGGCGCTCAGCCCCAGCGAGCGGCTGCAGCCCTCGTGTGGCCTTGTCATCGGGTCTTGACCAGGACAGATGTTCTCGGACAGGCCTAGAGAGGCTTCCCTGGAGCGCGGCAGAGGCGCCGGCACCGCGGCCTTTCCGGGATGCCCACGCAGCCCCTGCTGCACTGGGCCGAGTTTGGGGACGGCCCCGTCCCCTCAGGATGGGAGCGGCTCCTCGCCAGTTTCCATGGCAACGCGAGCGTTTACCCTGCCGGAGCGCCCATGGAGCCCGGGGCTCCATGTGCCTCCCATTGCGGCCCTCGTGTCCCCTGTTCCAGGGTGCTGTGGCCTGTCCTTGGGCTGCTCATCCCGCCCGGTGCCGCAGGAGCAGAGGGGGTTTCGTGCGGCACCTGGGGACTCAGTGTAGGAGGGGAAGGCAAAGCCCGAGGCCGCTGTGTGTGATTCAGCCAGGGCCAATGCAGGTCTCATAGGCGGCTCCGGAGAAGGCGAGAGCGCCCAGGGCAGCGTGGGGCACAGCTGGGTCCGTGATTCCCTGCGGGAGCCAGCGCGGCTCCTGCACGAAGGACCCTGCGTCCGCTGGGTGAGCGGGAGCTCTGGACGGGGGGAAGCGCAGCTGCGCTCCATGTGCTTCACGATGCTCCTGCATCCCGGCCTTCCTTCCCGGAAGGTTGCTGAGCCAGTTTGCTGGAAGAGCCAAAGGAATTACTGTGCGGCCTCCTCCAGCTCTTGGACTTCTCCTTTTTTCGTTTCCACTGAGCTGGCCGGGGTGCCGATTCCCTGGCGCAGGGCAGCCCTTGCTCTGGAGCCACCGCACCCGGCTCCAAAGGAGGCGGCTTGGGATTCCCGGCCCCACTTGGCTGGGATTGGAGCGGGCACTGAGACTGGGGCCCCTGGTGACTCCATGGGCCTTGGGCTGAGTCCCCGGCCCCGTGGGTCTGAGCCAGCAAAGGGCACTCGCTGCCAGCGTGCCGGCAGCTGGGAAACAAACCAAACCGCC